GTCAGATCAAACTCATGAGTGTCAACAGTCGTGAAGATGAGACCTTAACGTCACCACTAGTTAGACAGATCTGGCCAGGCCCTCTCGTTTACGAATACTTGCTGGTCACTCAGATGTCTTCCCCCGCTACTGGATTACCTATATGGCTTCGCCTGGTTGACGCTTGGCACTCAGTATTCACAGTGCTTCGCCCTGTTCCATTGCACTCCTATCCCAGTCCTACCTGCTTACACCCCGCCTCACAAGCTGTTGAACAAATGACGCAAAAGCCTTCGATGCGCACAAGTTCGCCTCAAAACCCAGCATCGAAGGAAACAGAGAATAATTGGTCTTCATGGGCAAGGATGATCCTTTGTTGATGGCATTACGTGGATCTCTGAACTAGTTGTATGCGTATGAGTGCGTAGGCCTGGATAATCTCCTGCATAGGGTATCGACACAAACGAAATCCGGCATGCAAGCAGCAGCCAGCTAGCCAGCACCCAGCCAGCCAAAACAGGGGTTTTCTACTTCGTTCACGATGCGAAGGTCGGACGGGATCAGCGAAGCTCCCGAGCCAAGTGCAGCTTGGGAGGGGAGGCGTGAAACACTTTCAACGTCCGATCTGACACCGGATTCCCAAATCCATATTACGCTCGTCCGGGGACGGAGATCCCCCTGACGGATGCAATTGCGACAAAACATGACAAGGGGATACGCATCATATGCTTCGGCAAGACCTGCCTGTATCCACGACGCGTTTGTCGCAGCCGGACCCCGTTGTTATTTGGACGTCCGCTTGGTCATGACTTTCACCACTGCCCAATCTTTGGTGCATGGCAATGATCTATATACCCCTGTTGAACACGACGAGACCACCTTCCCCGCCGCGGCCGTGGAACTCGGGCTCCAACTTGTCGGCGCTGATGCTCTGCCGTTGGGGGAAGACGGCCAAGGCCAGCGGAAGGACCGCGTAGCTCGTCACCAGAATGAGACCGAGATTGATGGGTACCACGAGTCGTGGGCGCTGCTTCAGCCACTGCTGCTGTTGCAGACGGACCAGTACCAGGGGCGGGATGACCATGATGGGCGTCGAGTTGAAGACACGGCTGGCGGCGGTCTCGCCAACGGCGATCTGCGCAGCCTTCTTGCTACGGCCGAGGGACTGGGGCTGCCCTGCGGCCTCCCCGTTCTCCTTGTGGGCGCGCCCGGCGTCAGATAGGACCGGGAAGACGTCGATTCCGGTCCGCATCTCTTCGCCACGCATGAGGAGGACGTTGAGGAAACCGGCCGAGGCGACAGCGGCGAAGGGTACGAGGCGGGTGAGGGTCGTACGGGTGGCCGGGGTGAGGTTACGCAGGCGCGGAACAAGCTTGTTCAGGCCGACGGCGACACCGCATGAGACGGAGACTGCCATGGCGTAAGACTCGCCCATCTTGCGCCAGGTGAGCGGGGAAGACTTGTTTGCGTTTGCCGAGTTGATGGCAACGTTGAGGGACTGGTTAACGACTTGCCAAGCGATCGTACCCGCCGTCTGTGCGATCGTGCGTTAGGAATCTGGCCGCAGAAGCTGACAAGGACAAGCGATTTCTTCGGATAAGGACTCACTCCAAGGCCCGGCTGGAGCATACCGGCCGTGACGATCAGGTTGCTCAGTACGAACGCGGACATGCGAAAAGGGAGGAGGACGGGTTCGCCGGTATCTAGGCGGTTGCGCAGCCGCGCGTGTTAGCTTTGGAAGCAACGAGCCCCGGGCCGCACCCGCGCAAGAAGGGGAGGAGGTTATGGCGTGGCTATCATGGGCTCGTCGCACCTGGGTGGAGGGTCGAGTCGACGACCTTTTTGGCCTTCCAAAGCTCGGGGGTCATGGACGGGATCTTTCCCTCCTTGTAGTCGGTGAGGAGGGCCTTTGCTTGCTCGAGACCGGTGCTGCCGACGAGGAGGGTGCTGCGGTAATGCGATAGAGCCACGCGTTAGCCATTGTCTTTGCTCCAAGAGGTTTGACAAGTCCATGAGTGCCGGCGTTGAGAGGCACTCTAATCCCGGGAGGGTTCGCCGTCGCGAAGCCGCCCTCGGCATGCGTATATGTGCGCGAAGGAAATTCAAGGACTGCATGACGTACCTCGGATCCGTGAGACCCATGTTGTGTCGTACGCGACCCCAGTACGTGCTGAGATCATGCTGCGAGGCGGGCAGCTCGCGGCTGCCGGGGAGGGAAGCCGACATCGCGGGGGGCGAATTGCTCTGGGCGGGCGTCGAGGAAGAATGAAAAGATGGCAGGTGACAGCCGACGATGGTCCTGTTAGGGGATCACCTAGGCAAAGAGACGGATGAATTGGCGGACGAGTAGCACGAGAGCGGTGCCGACACTGGTGGTCCGGCCTTCTCCTTCCCCTCTCGAGTAGTTGCTGGCCGGCGGTGAGGTATCGGGAGGTCCAACTAACTCCAAAATGGGGGGAAAGGGCGTCTTGCGACGGGACGGGTTTGGAAAAGATGGGTATCGTCGGTTGAGCTTCCGTCCCGAGATCGGTGGGCGGGAGCGCATAATAGGAGGGCACTCGATTGGTTGGATTTGCATGGACCCTGATTTTGGACAGCTGACGACAGGTGGCCATGGCTTGGTATCTAAAGGGCAACTAGGGGGGTTGTAGCGGGTTTCGCTCTGGGCAGGGAGGGGAATGAATAGATGTGCTTCCAGGACCGTGGAGCAGGTAATAACATAAGATGCAAGCTTCAAGCAAAAGGTAAACAAACCAACATGGCAAGCACGGCAACGAATTAGTGAAAGAGAAAAAGAGAACCGATGAAGAGCAGCAATACGGAGGAAGTTCGTACGATTGGTCATCTTGTCTAAAGATACAAAAAGTAACCCGACCTACCTAGGGATCGAACCTAGAATCTTCAGAGGATGACTAGTAAGCCGAAATCTGACGCGATGCCATTTCGCCAGCAGGCCTTGTTGTTTCCACCCTGAGACAAATACTTATGTAGGTACTTGTGTAGCTGAGTCTGTGCGTTTTATGACTGTCCACCGCGTGTGGAAAAAAACACTGCGGGGGAGCGCCATCCCGTGTTCGGCCTGAACCGGACGGAGGGAGTGCCGCTGCAGGCCGGGAGCTAGTATGTGCGGCGAGGTCTTTCTGTTCATTCGGCTATAGAGACGGGATGGGGATTTGTTTTAGTAGTCCCCCCTCCCCTTATTTTTGGTTTTTTACTGTTTTTTGCCCTGTCTCCGGAACAGCTCAAGTGGTTCCCGGTCTTGAGGAGCAAAAATCAGGCGTCGTTTTCGGTCACGCCCTTCGCATTCGATCGCTATCGAAAGGGAATGGAGATTCAGCATGTATGTAATTTTAAAAGAATGTATGTGCAGTCTAAGTAGCTCTAGCTACTTTTTGATTAGGGGTGCGTATGCCCCGGGCCAGCAGGTATCGCCGTGGCGTGGTGGGAGTCGACACCTTGTGGCTGAGGGAAAACAGATCCGTTCAGCACAGTGACAAGCCGACGGCCGTTTGTCTCTAATCGGAGCTTGGCGTGCTTCCGCAGTCGTTCGGGTTCGAGAAGTAGAGGAGGCCACACAAGGAGAGGGGAGCGAAACTTGGTTTAGAGGACCAGAGAGAAGCCCCACCACTGCCATGGCAAGTGGTGTGTCAGAAGTGATCGGGTACTTGACGAAGCCGGTGGTCGAGCAATTCCTGAAATCTTACGAAACATTCGGTATGACCTCATGCCGGATCCGTTTCCGCCAAGACCGGCAAAGTCTCCGTTGTTTCCCCACAAGTTCTTGTCATCAGGAAGGCCTGGGGGCGAATCTTTCGCGTCCAGCATAACCGGACCCGGAATAATGCTAAGTTGACGATGCGGAAAGAAAACGATTCGAGAACTGATAGAAAGAACGTGTCTAGCTACAGTGTCATCATATGGATATTGAGCTGATGTCTTGACTTGGGATGAAAGCCGTCGCAAGTCCATCCGAGCCTGAAAATACTTGCCCCTGCTATACCCCATGACCGGGAATGCCATGATGACTTGCAGTTTAGCGGATGGAATCCAGAAAAGGAGAAGAAACCGTCACAAAACAAGAAGCCCATCCACGCACGCTTTAGACGCCGAGGTCTGCATTGGCTGTATCGATCTCAGACCACGATGCCTCCCATTAATGGCAACCTACCCCGCCACTGAGCGGGCGCGAGCGGTGGGAACGCTCCATCACAGGAATTCGCTGCAAGAGAAGCGTCTACCGAAGGTTCTCCGTCAAGGTCATCCCTTTTTGCGGGCGGGATAATTGCTTCTGAGAGAGTGAAGGACGCAAGCGCCGTTCTGGCGGAAGCCCTCGACGGTCCGACCTAAGCGCCCGTCCTGAGCAGTGGCAACAACGACAAGCTCCTTAAAACAATACTGTTGCGGCGAGGAAACTGGCCTAGCCTCCTAGTCTGGACTTCAGTTCCTTGAAGTGAGGGATGTCCGACTCGTATCCTCAGCCCTCGGACGGCGTCGAGGCCTTCCCGGCTCTGGGCACTAGAGCTCGAATGTTCTGATCAGTGTTGGGCTGGTTTAGGTTGTACAAAATACCCGACCTGGGCCAAAACACACGTAGGTCCGACCTCGGTCCATATAATTTTCGGCGTCCAGCCAGCAACATAAACGTTTACTACTTAGAAGCACAACTAACAACACAAGTCTCTTGTGCAGACACGCTAGGTTCTATCTGCCCTAGCACCGCTTGCATGTTCCAGCGCATATCTTAGCAACTCAATGATGTTCTAGTTTCTTGCTTGTATTAATAACCACCACGGCAGTATTAATGCAGAGGTATGTAAGTATAAATATAATCGTAATCTATGTCTCCCAGTTCTACACACGAGACCGTGCGATTATCATTCCAGAATAGTATATGATAAATCTGTCCAAATTGTTAACAATGAAGACTGACGCTGTAGCGTCTCACAGATTCGTAGACTCGTGGCGTAAAGGGGCTCCCAACCAGCCCAGTTGTTACTATGGAAAAACTCAATAGCATCGCTTTAGTTCCGTGTTGTCGACTTGACCACCACCTCGGATCTCACCCAGATATTCTGACTACCGCCTTTGCCATCCTCAGTTGAATATCCATCAGCCCCCGTGCTGCGCTCCTGGCCATGATGCTCATCAGGGCCCAATATCGAATCGACGCTGTTGTCGTCGCCATACGCCTTGCCCATAGACCTCGTGGGATCTCTATTGGCCCCTTTCCCACCCCGTACAGTGGGGCTAGTTATATTTATGTCGGGCGTCTTGTTCCCAACTCTGACTGAATAATCAGTGCCTCCTATAGTTTTCAGGCCGAATGCACCATTGGAATCGGCCAGGTCCTTCGTGTATGCGCCAGGAGTGCTGCCTCCTCGAGAAGAAAGTTGATTAATCCATCCCTTGTAAAGAGGCCGGCAGACGGGAACGCCGATGCAGATCATGGTGACTGCAAGCTCACACGCGTGCCAGATGATAAGCTGTACCGTATCCTCTGGTTGGAGATTTGATCGTGTTAGTAAACCCTGCTTTCTAAACACTTGCAAATACACTGATTGTGTGGCAAGTCTCGGCGGTCTATGGGGTTACCTACTGGTAAAGTTCATACTGGCGAGGTTATGAAGCTCCAATGCTCTCTTGATACCACATATACCAGCACTTGCAAGACAGTTAGCTTCTTGTCGACACGAGCATAACGACAATGAACCACTTACATCACACCTAAGCTCATACTGATGTTAATGAGCATCTTCTCACGTTTTGGCATCTGGATGTTCCATAGCACTGCCCATGGCGTGATGGCGTACCAGAAGTCGACAACAACACTCCAGGCTCCAGCAGCTGTCGAGATAGGGCCGGGGTCGATATGACAAGCTCCACCAGGAATGAATCGGTTCCAGAGAAATTCTATGGGCGTGCAGGAGAACCAGAAGACCAAGAGTGAGGCGGTGGCGAAGAGGAAGAGGATGATGACGGGCCCGAGGACAACGATCCGATGCATGCGTGTGTTGACAAGCCGGAGTAGAAACAGTGCCAACGAAGCCTTGGACACAACAATGGCGGAGACGAGAATTGTCGTGCCGATAGCCTCGTACAAGATTGCCGGTGCTATGTCCGCCATGCCGATTTCGGTGACGTTTCTGCCAAATCCGTAGTTGGAAGAAATCGTGAGCATGATATCGTAGGCGACAAATAGGACCTGAGAGCCAACTTGTCAGCAGGGCCTAAGTCGAATCACCAAAACCTGGAGGCACCTACGAAGGCAAAATTGTAAAAGTGGTCGTCAATGCCATACGCTTGAAGAATGGAAATTCGAGTATACAGCCGCAGCAAGACGAAGCATAGCGTAACCGCCGTCAAGCCCCAAAGGACGCCGAGCGCCATAGGCGCATCTCCGCCTGGTCCGATCATTGTCTGTGTCGTTGAGCTGAAAGTCGAAACAGGGCAGGAAGACGGAGGAGACAACAGAATGGCCAGGATTGGGCTCGGGGCGGCCCGCTAGTTAAACCTTTGCGGCCCATCATCACAATCTATGCCTATACCCACGAGCCAGTTCCAACGGGGCCACGTACCAGCGAATCTGGAGCGCGACATTGAGGGCCGTACAATACCCTGCTAAAAAAATACAAAACTAGCAAGTGGACAAGCTCGTAAGTATTTCACGACCCCACTGCCCCTTACGAGCAACATGAGAAGCTGATCACTAGCCTATATAGTGCAACCGAGGCTTGTTGTGGATAGATTCTGAGGCTAACCCTGGACGAACTAAACCAATAGTATATCAGATCGTCATTTCCGGCCAGGGCACATAAGTGTGTCAACCTTTTCTTCAGACGTCGGCCAACAGGATGCAGACGGATGACGGAGAGGCCCGCCGGAGCCATATTTCTTCAATGGGTCGTCGGCCGCTTCTATCCGTACAGACACTGGATTCGTCCCACATTCCGGTGGCCACGCGAGGTCCCCGCAAGGGTTATTAGGAGAAGGTCACCAAGACTCAATTAAAGCACTTGCTGTATAAATATAGCAGCTGTTATGAGTGGCGGGCATTTGCCCGAAGAGCACGTATTCTATCAGATGACTGGCATAATCAATCCATCTTATAGTTCGAATCTTGGCTGAAGGGAGGGCACTTGAAGCAGATCTGTTGGTATCACAGGGATCGCGATCGTAAAGCAGTAATAGTTTGATTGACTACTAGTTGCTTGTTGAGATAGATAATAGGAAAAGAAGAAGAAGTTGTTGCTGCAGATATTTGTAGTGGTATAAGTGAGCCGCTGGGGTAAGTCACGTGATAGTAAATCACGTGACTATAGATTAGCTTTACTATTAAATAGTTAAATATCCTAACACTAGTAACTTTCTAAAGTAAAAAAAAATCGCTATAAATAGCCTAGATACTGCCTAGTAGCTAAAAAGCTTAAAAATATAATAAAAATTAAAAGCCTAAAAGTATTTAATACTTTTTGTTTATATAATCTATTATATAGCTTAAAAAACTTATTTTTTTATACTAATCTAAACTATCTTATTTCTAACTAGTTATTCTAGCGCCTTATTAGGTAATAATTTAGTAAATCTATTAGTAAGATTATTATTACTTTATATTTATTATACTTTATAGACCTTATATTACTTATATAACTACTAAAGGGCTATAATATTAATTATAAGCTTTTTTTTTTATAGTCTTAAGCTTAATAAGGCACTTATAAAGTAAGTATAAGTTAGTATAAAGAATTATTAGTATATATAATAGCTTAAGGTAGTTAGTAATTATTATAATAGTTATACTAAGTATATAGGTAATATTAGTACTAGTAACTATACTATAAATCTTAAAGGCTAGTATACTTTAGGTAACTTACTTATACTTTATTAAGCTAAAGTAAATAATATTACTAGTTATAGTAAATTTATTACTTATAGTAGTACTTATAGGTGCCTTATTAGTAAGAATATTAATAAATTCTAGCTATAAAGTAAAGTCCTTATTATTTATAAATAATCTATTTATAAAGATAAAAAGCTTTATAGATTTAAGGTTAAGTAAGTAAAATAATAAACTATAGTTAAGGTTATTTATTTACTATATAATATAATAGTTAAGTGCTTTAATTTTATTTATATTAGGTAATTAGTGTTATACTATAATAAAGTAGTTAAAGTATACTTTAGGCTAGTAAACTAATATAATATACATACTATAGGCCTATTACTTAATATACTACTTAAGTGCTTATAGAGATTTTTTATTAATAGGTTAAAGTCTTTTACCTTAGCCTTTTTATTAAAGAAAAAGCTTCCCCTTAGTAGTTAGAGATACTATACTACTATTAAAAGTAAGTAAGTTATTAATAGTAAGGATTTACTTCTCCTTAGTAGTAAATATAGCCTTAGTAAGCTTATTAGCCTTATAAGTAGAGAAGGATTTATCTAAAAAGGTAATAGTATTATTAGTCTATATACTAATAATCTTAAAGTCTAGGCTTTTTATATTAGTAATTAGTAGGTATAAATTAAAGGTTAAAGTCTTTATTTAGAGCTTTTTTTTATAGTAGTAACTATATATTACCTACTAGTAAGTGCCTGCCTTTATAATACTATATAATAGCTTTACTACTTATATAATAATACCTTTTAGATAAAGTTTTTATATTTATAATAAAAGGCGTATAAGAATTATATAATTTAATAAGGTAGTTAACTATATATACGCCTAGGTAATATTATATAACTAAAGTAAGAAATTATTATTATTATAAATAAAGGATAAAGTAAAAGTAAAAATAAAGCGCTAGCTAGCTTACTAAATTATAAGTAACTAAGTAAAAATTACTTTTTTACTATTATTAGTATATCTTTAGATAATAAGGTAGGATTTCTTATATAGTTTTTTATTTTAGCCTTTTACCTTATTAATAATCTATAATTTAAATATTTATACTTTAGTATACTTATTCTTATTATATTAAATAAAGTAAAATACCTTATAAGTAATAAGCCTTTTAATTTTAGTAGTAGTTACTTACTTAAAAGGCTTCCTTAAGGTAGTAATAATACCTTTTTTTTATAGCTTAATTAATAATAGTTAGTTAGCTTCTTCTTTTATTAAGATATATATTATACTTATAGTAGTAAAAAAGGTAGTAGGCCTAATAGTAAAGTTAGTTTTATTAAAGAAATTAATATACCTTTATAGGTAGCTAGCTTTTTACTTTAGCTATAGGTATATAGTAATAGTAATACTATTATATATTTTTTTAGTAGGTATAAAGTTATTAGTAGGTAATAAGGCTACTATACTATTATTATTATTCTTTTTATTACCTTACCTACTTACCTTAGAGAGTAGCTATTATTACTTATTATAGGTATCTTTAAGGTATAGTTTAATAATAGTTAAATAAAAAGTTTATAGGCCTTAAGAGAGGTTAATAGTATAAGTAGTCCTATTACTAGTAATAAGGTAAAAAAGGCCTTATTAGCCTTTTTTCTTATACTAAATATAGACTATAGATTAAAGCAGAAAGGCTACTATTATAGTAGTATCTAGGCTGTTATATATAGTTACTACCTTATTAACTTACTTTTTTATATAAATCTAGTAAATAGCCTTTATTACTTTTCTTACTACTTTAGCCTTTTTAAGTAAAGTTAGTAAAAGTAGTAATAAGTTAGAGATTTATAGGTAGGCGCTAAAGACTAGTAGTATAGGTACTAGGCTATTTAGGCTAGCTATATTATTAATTACTTTAATAGCTAGCTAAAAGGTAACCTTAGGTGTATAGCCCTTACTATAGAGGATATTATATATATATTAGAGAGGTATATAGTATTTTTTAACCTTACTAATACTATTATAGGCTTTAATTAGTATTTCTTTAATATTAATATAAAGTAACCTTACTAACTACTTAAATTTACTAGTATAAAAGTTTAGGCTAGTATTAGTAATAATCTAGTTAGGTAGGCTAAGGTAGACGTTAATTTAGTATATCTAAAGTACCTCCTATATATACTTTATAGTAATGTTTTTAAGTAAATAGGCTGCTTAAAAGGATATTATAGTATTAACTATATATAAGGCTAAGTAGTTACTATTAAGGTAGATAATATTAATAATAATCTTATAGTTAAAGTTATATTTATTATTATATAAAGTAAATTTAAAGTAACTAGGCGCCTTTATATTTATCTAGTAGTAGTAGTAAACCTTAGTTAATTTCTCTAAGGCTGTAATCTTAACTTTATTACTAGATTATTAGAGGATATAATAAAGCTTTTAGACTAATAAGTAGCTAAAGTAATAATAAATTTACTATAACTTTATATCTATAAGATAGTAGTAAGTAATACTTTACTTATATTAATTAAGTAGTATCTATATATAGCCTTATTTATAGATAGTAAGTATAATAGTGTTACCTTAGATTAGCTTATTAGTAAGGTTATTAAATTTAATACTATACTAATCTATATTTATAAGGTAAAATAGAAATAAGGTATTTAATAGTATTATATAGAAGGTTAGTATACTAAAGGGGGTTAATATATTAATTACCTCTTATAATTTAAAGTAGTTACTACTACTAAAGTAGATTTTTACTTTACCTACCTATAACTTATCTATAGCTAGATTTTCTTTTATTTAGTAGTAAAAAGTAAGATACTACTTATATCTAGCTATTAAATATTTAGCTACACTAGAGTTAGGTATAATACTATAAAATAAGATAAATAAATATTACTTATTAAGGGTAAAGACGTCTATATTAGGTAGCTTATTATTATATAGATTCTTATATAGGGAGTTATCTTTTATAAGAAAATAGGTTATAGATTAGTTATATAGTAATAAAAAAAAAGTAAGCCTATTAATAGTAAATAAGTTAAAGAACGTTATTAATATATAAAACGTAGTGCCTAATTCTTTATTTTTATTACTTTTTATATAGTTACTTTTTTTATCTAAAGTAAATAGCTTATATCCCTTAAAGTTAGTTATAAAGTAGTTAAAGGCTTTAGGTAAAAAGTCTATTAGATACTACTCTTTATACTTATAGTAGGCTTATTACCTTTTATCTTTTAAGTGCCTTATTAACTAATAGTTAGGCTTACTATATATATAGCACTTTTTTATAAATAGTAATAAGGGTAAAAAAGGTGCTTATTACTATAGATTACTATTAAAAGGGCGCTATAGTATAAAGTTACTATAGCTATAGTTATATTAGCTAAATTACTAGTAACTTTACTAGCTATTATAAGTATAGTTAGTCTAGTATTAATTATCTACTTTTTTAGTTAGGTATTAATATATAGGTTATTTAAATTATATTATATTACTAATTACTAATTAAAGCTAGCTATATATACTAGTAAACGTTAAAAATAAATTAAAAAAGGTA